ACGTCAAATTCTATTTTGTCCAGCGACAGTGTACAAACGTTTGCCGGTAACTGTGATGACCACGGTGACCAGCTACACCAGAACGGACATATTTCGCATCTAACTCAACCCCATGCAACAAAAATTGATACTATGTGTTCATTATGGTCCATTCTTCCTCGACGAACAAGTACATGAGTGACAATATAGTCAAAGACGAGAAAACTGCACAAGAAATTTGCCTTATTTACACGTATCGGCAATGCAAGCTGCCATGCGACTTTCCCTTCTGACATCACAAGGGGAATTTCTGTATGCAAATAAGAAGCTAATGAGGAGCCTCGTTTTAAAATACACAAAAATAAAGTTGCCGTAGATTGAGTTTAAAACACATTTTTTCACTCAAATAAAATAATTCATGCTTAGAAACATAAAAAATAGTAATATTTATGTATCAATGGATAATTTTATATGTGAAATAGCAGCCATTTCACAGGCACTTTAAACCATATAAAGATACATGGTTGGCAAGCAAAATCTTGGCCACAGCATTGCTATGACATCACAGCTTTGCTGCTTTATTTTTTTTTATTTGATGAACAAATTAATGAAAAATTCAATGCACATTTAATATATATTTAGGGAAAGTAGAATTATAGACAAAATACAGGACAGGTAATTGTATAAACGAAATGCCTATTGCCTTCCTCCCCAGACTGTAGTGTTCCCCCTTAAAGGAGAAGTCAAGCCAAACAACATAATGCTCCCCAAGAGCAGAGCTCCACAAATATTGGAGAATGCACGCCCACTTTTGCGAAACTCTGCATACATTTGTTCACACTACTGTGGCAGCAATTTATTTTGTTTCATACTTGGAACATGTCTGAACATGTTTTTTAACTTCTTCTTGAATATGGAGCCTGTGGAATTTAATTTCTCTTGGCTTCAGCTTCAGCTCACATCAACCAACACAATTCCTCCATCCTTCCCAAATTTTAAATTGGTTATACCTACTTAATTCTTTGGGTGGAGTTTCACCTTCTAGGCAATGACGTTTATAATATCAAACCTAAGGCAATTACTACGTTCAATTAATCCTTTGTGTTTGCAGAGGGATTACAGCAGTTGGGTTCACGTTATTCGGGACCCACAGAGGACAGACTCGACTTGTGCCGAAATCACGCCCTCATTCGTCTATTATTTTACCCAAACATGGAAAACAATACGCATATGAAGATAATAATAATTACTATACTGAAATTATATCCATCTGTTGTTATGGTATTCTCTAAGACAGACCGGAAACGGAAACGAGACAAAAACAAAAGATTTTTCAAGTTAGCAAGGGGGAAATAACGTTGCTAAGTATTATCGTCAGGGAAAGCTATTGTTTAAGCTAGTCTGTGATTGGTTGCTGGCAATGTTTGGGGGATTTTGACCAGTTTGTGACGTAGGCTTGTCTTAGAGAATTTATAACAAGTCATCATACACATGACCGGCAAAGAAGATTCAAAAAACAATTATATTTTTCACGTCTATGGTGCATTGCACATAAGTATGCGTCGCAAACGACGATTTACCGACTCGGTCCCGACCGTTCACACACAAGTTTCGGCACCTGCCGACTCGGTCCTGAGACTCGGAACGTGAATAAACAAAACAATCAGGTGATTGCCGACAATAACAGCAACCGGTGTAGTCTGAAATCCATCCATGGGGGGCCTGACGATCTGTTCTTGTGGTTGGTTACATCATGGAAGGTACATGTACATGTATGGTTACATGGACGTCTGCCAGACACGACTATGTCCCGACACACAGTCAGCTGGCATCGGTGTATGATCATATACACCCAGCGACACCGATGCCAGCTGATTGTGTCCGGACACAGGACCTTATCCGAAGCTCCGAAAACTTAGCTCAAAATCACTAATTATACTGTACTACGATTAGTTTCTGCCCGATCAGACTAGACTGTTATAGATCTGCACGAGTATACACCCTGGTATACACCCCAGAATGCATCTAGTGTACAATCTATCCATGTGTTATTAGTACTTACTGTGTTCACCATAGAATGTACAATGTTGTCCAATACGAAGACAAGCGCCACTCCAAGACACATGCATATCGTACCAACTGCCAACGGAACACATAACTTGACACCGGCGTGTACCATGGTGAACTGACGGTATATGCGCGCAATCTGTTCGGTAGATGAGATGGAAGCAGTGATTTACATATACAACAT